GCAGTGGCACCATCTACGCTGCCTGGTTGCCAACCACCCAGCTATGGGGGTTGAACCATCTTTCCCACACTTGTCAGGCTGGCAGGAGACCGTCACGTGAGCCCGGGCCGGCCCTGTTCCTGACAATGTCTATATTATACTATACATATTGATGATTAATAGCTGGTTTCAACTCCGTATATGATCAATAGCTGGTTTCAACTCCGTATACTTCTGCTGTATCATATGAGGTCACAGACGTGACATGTCTCCTAAAAAGGAATTTTTTGCAGTTCAACAGTGGAATCATCGGAGAATGTCACACATTGTCACAAAATCAAAGTTGTGTATTTTGACTATATAAACAACTTTCATTAAGTAACATATAGTGGCAGCTCAATAAATGTGGTAGCACTGACCCATCACTAATTCATATATAACTGATGGACCTCTATCTTCATAGCTGCTTAAGCTAAAGGCATAAATTGAGAACTAGCAGGAAGGGTCTCAAAAGGACCATCGATTGATCAGGTATTTTGATTACTATCATATAATAGAATTCCCATATTGACTATTCAGTTATTGAAAAGAGCATGTTTGGTACTTTAAAAATGTAAGGTGGCCAATTTGTGAGTTTGGCTACTCCAACATAAGGCTCTGGAATGTATCCTCCTAAGTACCACTGAATGTGGCACCAAGAATGCAATGCATTCACTCATCAGTGGCCTTTGATCTCCATCACCTCTGAAAGATAAGCCCATATCTCCAGCTAGCCTTAGTGGATAAAGCTGGGAGAGGGTTCATTTGAGAGGTATATCATCCTACTATCCTTGAGCCCTATCAGCCATTTTGTTGTTATTATTACCTTCATTTATTCACTGCCAAGAATGCCTAAATACTCAGTAAAGCAGTGTTTTGCTGATATCCTGGGACTACATGCATGCAATCTCCTGCCATTTCTCTCGACTTGCGCGCAACCCTCGTGAGTCATTTGGCTCTTGCTTTCGTGCTTGATCAACTGACTCTGTTCCTAGAACGGTAGAACCCCTGACTGGTCTTTCGCCGGAGCGGCTAGGCAATACTCGCAGCAACAAGCGGCACCATGGAGGCGCAAACGATGGGCACCGTAATGACCACGCCGCCAACGGCTCACATGCAGGTCGGTTGAAAAACAGCACCTTGTCACGCCTCAAATCTTGAACCCGACTTCCATCTCCTGGCGCGGGAACGTATTGCTTCAAGCAGCCCTGCATGTCGGCCCGCGCGTTGAATTCGGGAACTTGGGCATCACCTTGAGGCAGCAGGCGCGATGTAGTTTGGGGGCCCGGAGCCTGATCCGGCACCGGCTCGTTTTCTCGCTTGCGGTGTGGCGAGTTTCGGACATCATGCGGTATGTTTCTGGCTTACTTTTCCCGAATACAAGGCTTACTTTTGTGAGGTCTTGCCGCCAGAGGCAATCACGCCGCTTTGGCCGCGGAGAGGTCGAGAGGGATGGTGGCTTGATTGTGTTCGGCGCCGCCAGCCTTTCCTTTCAACCTCTGCCATCATGCAAGCTCTCTGCTGAACGTTAAGTTCATTTTGCAGCCAGATTTCGCATTTCAAGACTCATTTTTTGCAAGGTCTGCACCGCCGGAGGCCAACGCTGGGGATACTATGTCAACTTGGCATCTTGAGCGTGTTGCCCGCGTCTTCGAATACTCTGGCTTGCAGTCGGAGGGCGTCAAAGGCGGGAATCTTTGGCTCCAGCCTGCCACGTTGGTGAGTCATTTTGGTGCCAAATTTCGAGTTACAAGGCTCAAATTTTTATAGGTTTCAACCGCCGGAGGCCAACGTGCAGGTCTAGCACAACGGAACGGTGATAGCGCTCTGCCACTGGGAGGGAGAGTTGAGGGAATTTTGTTTTGGGGAGGACACGCTTTGTCGCTTGCTCGGGTGTTCTGCCGGTGTATGAGGGGGTGGACTTCGAGAGAAAATGGAGTTTGACGCGACGCAACGCGTTGTCAATTAGCGTGCCCGGATGTACTTGATAGAAATGGCTAATATATGACTTTGTGCCCACCTCTTCTGCTTGACTTTGCCCCATGAAAATTGCTCCCAAGCCATGCCCAAACACCAAAAAATTTTCGTGCTACGCGATGCTCGTGACCTTGTTTATGGGTCCGTGCGCTGAAAAAAACAGTATATTAGAGGGTGCTCTCGCTCGCGCGACTTGGCGAGCAAGTGAGGGTCGCCAAGTGGCAGTACGGTACGGCGACGGTCCGGGAGGCGCCGTATTGCGCCGTAAAAGTATGGCCGTAGCCGTATACGGGACGGCGCCGAGCCCTATTCATTAGATTTCTGTTGTAATTAATACATTGCTTGTGTAAGGCGAACAAAATGACCATACTATTCTGAGGATACGGTAACTAGCTGATTCCCTGAAGCAAGGTCCATGTCTCGCGCATCACGCGAGACCCCTTGTATATATACTTAATTTGTATGATTTGCAAATTCTTAGCACTAGAGACACTGAAAAAAATCGCAAAATTACCCTTTTAGGATACCAAATTTGCAAAACAAGTATGACATATGGAGAAAAATTCACATAATATGCAGCACATGCAATTCAAACTAAGTAAAATACTATAGTATAGTACAAACTGAATATGTGAAAGATCAAAAGTCTCCATAATTTGCTAGCAGGAGTTTTCATGTGATCCTATGACTGTTCAAGTCAAAGCTCATTGCTTGAAACTTTTTAAGTCTGGAGCAATTGATAATCTATGTATTTGCTTTCAAACCAGACTTTATTTAATATCACTTTGGTAAATATTCAATCATACAAGTTTAGGTAGTTAGCTTCAAAATTATTCTTGCTATGATTATAATCTAGTCAATTAATTTGGTTACTGTAACACAACTGTTTCATTATAACTAATCTTGTAGTTAGAAGTTTGACTTAGTGAAATGTCAAATGATTGCAGCTATTATGAGGAGTTTATTAGTGAGAAGTCTTGGCTTACTTATATAGGGCTAATGAGCTCAGTTCTGGAGTATTGTTACTACTCTTATTAGCATCTAGTTACCTTCTCTGTTATTATATCTAGACTTAATTATATGAATCTAGCTAGTTGGAACTAAGATCATTGTTGCTCTTACTAGCAGTGAATTCCAGTAATGCCCTCTCATTGCATTCAGGCTTAATAATATCAAGAGAGTTAGTTAGATTCAAGATGTGACAGTAAGTATGGGCACTCATATTGGGCATGAGTATATAGGCAGAAGCTATTGTTATACAAAAATAGCACACAAATACTAGTAAAACAGTATACTCAAATTTGTTAGATTTGAGATGAAATCTCATATAAGCCACTAGTTGGGTATAAAAATATTGTTGCTGTTCTTATAATTTAGTCCCACTATGTCAGGCTTCAGGTTGGGCTGTGCAAGGCTTTTCTTAAGAACACATGCCTGGAACAGAACAGATGGATTGTCGGGCACGCAAGTGGAGCAAGCGGGGTAGAGCTGAACCAAAAGGGCCTGTTAACGCGGTCCCTTGTCGTTGTCGGTTGTCAAAGGTTTGAATTGGGTCAAATCGGGTCGTTTTGGGCCCAATGAGTTGGTGGTACCTCCTTGCACCGAGAGAAGCGGTACTATAGATGATCTAAGTGATAGAGTACAGGGTACACTATCACACTTTATATATGCAGGCCCGCAAAGGGGTGATCAGACACCCTAGCCTCTCCTGCTCCTCCTCGCCCCGTTCCTGGCTGCAGAGGGGACGATCATATATCCCTTGTAGGCCAAGTGCTACACCTAACCTCCTAGCACTCCTCCCCAATCCCCTGGTATCGAGTTGGGCTTAGCAAGGGCTTGACACATCGTTCTCGGTCACGTGCTTCCCACATGTGCTTCCCACGTATGCGTTCCTCCTACTGGGGCGCCTGTTCTCCATCATCACATGCTGCGTGTTATGGGCCCGTGATGGCCCAACACCATGGCCAGAGCAGACGGGCCAGGTCTTATCTGTGACACACCAGAACCCTCTCATTATATCTAGGCTTAAATATATAAATCCAGTTCCTCAGGTTTAGGATTATTGTCATGATTATAGAAGTATACACCTGTATAGTCCAGTATACACTATGAATTGTTGGGTCCACTGTGGTGGGTTGGAGCCGATAATTCACAGTGATATTTTCAAGGCCCTAAGTGATATTATACAAGGTTTCCCTTCTTCTGTGCTCAATTGTAACTTAAATGCTGTGAATAATTATAAATAATTGAAGGCCCGCATTTAGCACTGTTACACTATGTCACAGGAGTCATAAGCATGACAAATTTCCAAAAAAGGAAATTTCACCATTTGACAGTACAATCATCAGAGAATGTCACAGATTGTCACAAAACCAAAGTTGTATATTTGATCTATTATAGATCAAAATATGTTAAGTTCAGTCAATGAAATATATACCCACATACTCTGATGGTGTCTGCGAACCGCAGCACACAAGACAAAGCAGCAAAGTTCCAGTTGGCCAATGCAAGGGGGAGGAATGATTCGGTGGGCAGGTGAGAAAAGCTTTCTAGCCAGAGCTCAGGCAGCAGTATGTGTGCTGTGGCTGACATAGTTGTGGATGGTAGAAGATCGATGATGGACATGATTCTGATTCATGATATGCCAAAATGCCTGTGGATATGATACAGATAAAATATGATATGCCAAAATGTGTATTGTGTCTGTATTTGGACAGCACTAGACATGAAGAGCAGAAAGTCAGTCGGGTGTGACCCGAAATGATCTGCTGTGACGTTTTTTCTTTCTTTGGAATTTCGGTCGTTACGGGCCGGCGGCATATGGTCAGAGAATTCCTTGCAGAAAGTTGTCTACTTCAGGAAGTTCAGTTCCCAGTGCTCCCTCTACTTCACAGTAGGCGGTTCATCGAAAAAAAGCTCATTCGCCGCGGCGATGATGCTTCTTGAGCATGTGATCAAATCTCACGCCATCTCAGCTGTTCTTCCTTTCCTCTTCCTCCCAGCCCATGATGCGCGGGCTACCGCTGGACAACCACGTCCCCGGGCGTATGCGCTCCTCCCCATTATCTCGTCCGCTTGTGCCCGTGCTACTTCTAAGCTTCTGCGCAGTCTATTTCTTCAACGGCGGGATTCAGACCACCGTTTCAAGTTACTTCAATGCCGCTGGTCAACGGGACTTTCAGCTCCCTATACACTGTCCCATACAGCCCGCTGCGCTCCAGCCGCCTATAGCGTTTCCGCTCACGGACCCCACTTCGAGCTCGAGCCGCATGACGACGAAAACGGATTTTATCGAGCGGCTGCGCGGGGGCGGTCCGCATCCCCACCGAGACGTTTGACGGTGCACCAACTGACGGCGGGGATGTGTGGTACGACAAGTTCTATTCATTCGAGGACTACCTGAGGGCAACTTACCCGGACGTGTGCGTGCATTTATTCTTTGAGCTTGCCGCGCATGCTTTTAGATTGAAGTTGCATTGATAGATTCTCGGCTCTGAAGGTGGAGAACTTCGCCACGCATGCGTTGCTGTTCACATGGCAGGGGAGCGATCCGGCGCTCAAGCCGCTTGGTGCGTAGAGTGCCTATCAGTTTTACAGCACTACTAAATTGGACACTCGTGCAGTGCTTATGGCGCACCAAGACACCGTTCCTGTCCCTCTTGACACAACTTCGCGCTGGACCCACCCACCATTCGACGCGCATATCGATGATGACGGTTGGATATGGGGGCGGGGCGTTGGCGACTGCAAAAATCTTCTGTTTGTCCTATCTTTGTCGAGAAATCCACCACGTCCCGATTGACAAACGAGCCAGAATCGCGGAGCTCTCTGCAATCTCGGAGCTGCTAAAGGCTGGATTCGAGCCAACGCGCAGCGTTCATATCGCTTTTGGGTTCGACGAAGAGGGCGGCGGGGTTGTGTGTCTCTGTTCCAGCTCACTGTGACTGCTTCTGACCTAATGCCGATTTAGCGGAGCGCTGCGTACATTTCACAGCGCTTCTTATCGCTCTATGGCCCTGATGGGCTGTTCATGGTCGTGGACGAAGGAGGCCTCATTCAACCGCCTTCATCGAGTTCGAGCCCGCTATTTGTAACACCTTCCCTCGCTGAAAAGGGCTCTGTCAATGTGCAGCTCTCCGTCGGCGTTCCCGGAGGGCACTCATCCATCCCGCCCGCCCACACGGCAATTGGAATCCTTTCTGCCCTGGTCACGAGCCTGGAGGCGAGCCCGCCAGACGTAGTGCTGAGTAAAGCAAATCCGTTCGCAGCGTACTTAATGTGTCGGGCGGAGCATGGTGTGTTTTATTCACGCTTCAAGTTTAGTACTTCCTAACTAAACGGGATTAGACCCCACCAGCCTCCACCCGACGCTGTTAAGGCTGCTTTCGCACGAACGCACATGGCCCGCGGCAGCACGATGGCTTTCTACCCACGATCTCGCGGATGCAGCGTAGGTGTTGGCTTCCTTTTTGTTTTCAAATTCTTCTCACTGTTTTCAGTCGCCTATCCACTACACAAGCAGTTGACATCGTTGCAGGCGGCATCAAAGTCAATGCCTTACCCGAAGAAGCGCATGTCGTTGTGAATCATCGTGTTTCCGTCGAAGACTCAATCACTGGGTATGTCATTGCTGGCGCCTGGCCTTGAATGTGTTCACCGATTATTTGTCAGTCTTGAGGCTCGATACCTGACCCTGCTGACACCCGTCGCGGCCAAGTTCGGGCTGACGGTCGTCGGTTCGTCTTTACTCTGTTTTCTAGATACGGTTATAAGACTCATTTCAGGTTTTGGGGAGAAGATTCCGTCGGACACACCCCGGTATCTGCAGCTCTCGCACCCTGGATTTGGTGCAGAGGCATCCCCAGTCACCCCAGATGAGGGTGATGCCTGGAAGTGCGTTGATTCTTTGTGGTCTTCCTCTTGGCCGGACTAATTGTTTTAGTGTTTTCGCTGCCACGGCTAAGTATATCGCTCCAAATCCATTTTTCTCATGTGTTCATACACGTTCAGATCGCTCTACCCCACCGCGATTGTGTCGCCGTTCCTTTCGACGGGCGGCACGGACACGCGGGCGTACCTCCCGCCGACGCTGAATTCGAGTCTGACGCGGGCCATTTATCGCTTCCAGGCGGTGCGCGAGGACCAGCGCGCGAACACGCACACTATCGATGAGAGGATTCACGCTGACGCGCATATCAGCGCGATCGAGTTCGTGTGGGCGCTGGTCCAGAATGTAGATGCCTGGCGATAGGATTTTGCGAAAACTGGTACTAGTAGTGCTGGCAATGAATCCGAAGAACTTGAATCAGATGAAAGTTGTATACTTACTGTTGACCATATATAAGTAGCAATCCTGGACACATTGGACACATTAGTTAGCCACCAAGCCTATATACTTGATGAGTACTTGACGTGTGTTCAAGTTGGGTGCTTGCACGTTGCACTGCAAGGATCTCAGTTTACCCGGACATGTGAACGCCAAGGCGAATTGTGACTGGTGAGTCACATTGCTTATCAACCGGGTTTTTTCTGCTCCACCACCCCACTTCTGCCTCTACTCTACTACTATGCCCCTCCATCCGCATCTCCTAGAAGTTAAGATCTCCACGAAGCCGTGCTGCACCTCTTCTCATACCCTCCCCAGGTTACCGCTCCGGGCATCGCCTACATATGCCTCGGCGGCTTTGCTGTTTTGGTCAGCCCGATATAACTCGATGGTGTCTGCTTGCTGATCTGTTGTAGTTCTCGGTGGTGTCCCTTTTGGTTAAGGAGAAGGCAAATGAGCTTCCTTTACCCTCTTTGCCCATTTTGACGGTCTTCCAGCTGTACATAAACGAGGTGCTTCTGGGCACCATATTTGGCATCATCGTCGGCCCGTATGGTGCCAACATATTCAACCCCCGGGCATGGGGCGACGAGGTGAACGAGATCACACTGGAGGTCATGCGCATCATCCTCGCGACGGGCTTGTTTGCGATTGGTGTAGAGCTGCCGGGGTCGTACATGGCCAAGCATGCGCGGGGGTTGCTCGTTTTGGTGGTGCCGACGATGGCATTTGGATGGGTCGTTGTGGCTGGTGCGTCTCCTGGTCATTCTATTCCCTAGTAAGGTCACCAAACTCTCTGCAGGGATCATGTACGGCTTATTCCCCCCACTTTCGTTCATTTCCTGTCTGGCTATCGCCGCCTGCCTCACTCCGACGGACCCAATTATCTCCGCTACCATCGTTGGTGCGTTGTGGGCTTCATACCCATGCCCGACTTACGTTGGTGGACAGGTGGACGATATGCTATCAAACACGTTCCTCGCAATATCCGCCAAATTATTGCCGCTGAATCTGCCGCCAATGACGGCCTCGCTTACCCGTTCCTCAGCATCTCCATCTATCTCACCATTGAGCAGTCAAGACGCGTGGCAGTAGGCGAATGGTTCCTCGTCGGCTGGCTGTGTATGTCGTTCTTCACCGTCTAGTCACGGCTTCATCTGTCTTCAGACCAAGTCATCTTCGGCATCCTTCTCGGAGCTCTACTGGGTCCGCTCCCACATCCTCTTTCTTCGTTCTCCTAATCCTGCTACTAGGAATCGCATTCTCGTACCTGATCAAGCTTTCGCACCGGAAAGGGTTCCTAGACAGGGAATCATACGTTGCACAGTACCTTGCGCTGGCTATATTCACAACTGGTCCGTCCACCTCTCTCTTCACAAACATGAATCTAATGTATATTATTAGGTATTGCTAGCACTTTGGGCACCGACGACTTGCTTGCAGCCTTTGCTTGCGGTACATTCTCTACTTTCAGCCCTATATACCCCCGCTCACTTGTTACTATAGGTAACGCCATCTCCTGGGACCAGCACTTCAACGAAATCATTGAGAACGAGTCATTCTCCTCCGTCATCGATCTGGTGCTCAACTGCGGATGCTTCGTGTACATCGGGGCCTGGCTGCCTTTCTCGAGTTTCGACTCTCCGGACCTGGGCATCACACCCGCCCGCCTCGCTGGGCTGTTTCTTTGTATTCTTGCGCTACGGCGGATTCCGAGTGTCCTGTTGCTCTACCGCTGGGTCCCGGAAATCGAGAACTGGAAGGAGGCCTTATTTACCGGTCACTTCGGGCCGGTGAGCATGTATGCTTATGCTGGCGATATTCTGCTTACTGTGAAAGATGGGCGTTGGCGCGATATTTGTGTCGAGCTTGGCTGTTAAGCGCCTCCCGCATCCCCACGACCCGCCCGCCAACCAACAAGAGCTCCTCGCTGCGACCCTCCAGCCCATCGTCTCCTTTGTCGTTCTGGGTTCAATCATCGTTCGTATGTAGCCTTCTTCGTCATTAATTGGGTTCGTTTTTCTCATCGTAAGGAATAGATGGCCTGTCGATTCCCTTCTTTACCCTGGGGGGCAACATGCACATGCGCACGCGATCGCTGCTTGCGACCTTGACCTCCACGCGCGGCGATCCCACCGATTGGCTCCTGTCGTTGCGCCGCGGCCCGCCGGTCGTGCCAGTTGCTCCAACAACAACCGCTGACAGCGATCTCGAAGCGGGCATTGCGCGCGAGGTGCAGTCGGCGTCGGCGACCATTGTCGGAGGTGGAATTTTGGAGGAGGTTAACGTTATCGAGAAAGAGGTGGGCCTTCTGCCAGAGCATGTCCTTTGGTTTTCTCACTTGATAACTAGCGCGCTGCCTTGCACCCCGCAGAAGAAGGCGGGGCAAGCGGCTCCATGCCCGAGAAACAGCCCGTTGTGGCGTTCATGACGCCGAACGCGGAGGAGATCGAGCACGATGCCAAGGTAAAACTTGCCTTGACCCTCATGTCCGTTCAGCTCTGACCTGGCTTTCGTAGCGTCCTCCGAATGAACGCGGCGACAGCAGCTCCTCCTCCAAAGCTGCGGCCCTTCCCGAGAATGCGGCAATTGTCGTCACGACATCCGAGGTCGTCGACCATGCCTCTCAGGACGGTGCCCTCCCGGCGGATGGACATGTGCATACTGGCGTCGAAACACAATAACACTGGTCGGGCGCGGCGGGCAGCGGCCGTCGTCGACATACATCCCAAAATAATTGTTTACGCATATCTAGAGTTTTTTGTTTTCCTTGTTTTTCTTTGGGACGTACACTAGTCAGAGTCCTGGAAAGGGACCCCCAAAAAGCTAGCCATTTTGTTTTTTTTTGTTGTGCAATGTATTGAAATTGTGTCTATGTAGAAGTTTGCAAATGCATACTAGAAAGAACGCTCGGCCTTCTTTCACTCGTGGTGCCGGCATACTACTCCACAGAGTCCACACTGCGACTCAAAAACTGACCACCGTCCGCAACTGGCTTGACTCGCATGGCGTTGCCGCCCAAAGGGCCATGTCCCGCGCTGGCGACATCCTTGAATTCACGGTCCCCGCCAACTTGGCAAGACCGCCAACATGCTCCTCGCAGCCGACTTTGTGCAGTTTACGCCCCACGGTTGCATTCAAGTTCGTGCCCCCGTTGAAGCGCAGGCCGAGCGTCACCGCCGACAAATGTGGAGAAGAACAGGCGCGAGGAATGGGTGGAACTGTAGGGACGGCCGGGGAGGTGCCTGCGAGCTGCGCGATCAAGTAATGGATCCGCTGCGTATGCCGATCCCCGGAGTTTTGTGGCTAAGTGGCTTTAATCTCTGCTGTTAATGTAGGTTAGAAGGCGAGTTAAAATGTCACAGGTAGTACTTATTGTGCTGATGGTTATGTAGCGCACAGAGTACTTAAGTACATTCAAGTTGGATGGTGTTGTGACTTGGTCGTCACCCAGTCTGGCCTTTTTCACCTCGTCGCCGCTACGCAATATGCTTCGTCATAAAGAATCACGCCCGGCTGCAAGCACTCCGAGCGGATATTACTCAACGCGATCACTTCTTTTTCTTCGCCGTGACGGGGTGTCACATCCAAAGGATTCTTTCCTTCGTACCACCACCAGCCCGCGACGCTCGCCCCATACAGAACGGCGTCGCTGCCCTTCCTCGCGAGTCTCCCCGTCTCGTTCTTCTCGGCGAGCCTACCGTCCATCGTACTGTCCTTCTCCCACTGTGTCGCGGCGCCGCTGCCCTTCCCGCGCGACCTCGCCCGCCCCGCTGTGTGGGTCGGCCACATATCGGGGTGGGTGTCGGACCCTGCTGCTGCCTGACGTGTCGTGGCGGGGCCCCGACGCGTACTGTGGCGCATGGTGTCGTCGTTGGCTGACGTGTCGCGGCTGGCCCATGCGTCATGCAACGCCATCTTTTCGCGCGGCGAGGGGCGGTGGCGGCTGCTTGTGGGAATGCAAGGCAGTCGGTGGACGCGTGTATCTGGTGTCCTCTTCTGCTCTCGCGGCGTCTCGGTGGGGTGGTGCTCATCTGGGCGCTGGGGGATGCGGAGGCGGCTGTTGGATATACGCGCTGTCGCGGCGTCGCATGGGTTCAGGACTCGACGTGCCGGTGGCACTGTACGTTCGAGTCCCACCCTCCTCGCGACGAGTCTGCGGTGGAAATTTTTGGGCTCCTTTGCATCGCTTCGGCATGCTTTTGCGCAGGCGTGGACTAATGAATTGGTGCGTTTCTTCTTCGTCTGTCCCTTCGGTTCTGAAAACTCTCAGGCTCGACCATGCTGTTCAGGTTGAAGGGACTCGCTGCATTCAACGATGGGTGTTTGGGCGTTTGATCGTAGATTAATACTACAGTATGTTTACTTGCTCCTGGCTTTCGACTTCGACATTCAATGCGTACTCCGACTTTGTCTATATGATCTCAGATAAGATTTGGATAATAACAGATGCATTTAAGCCAGCAGCCGGAGCGTTCAATACTTATGTGTAGGGTGCTGTGAGTAACTGTGGTTTCGAAACGGTTTTGAAACCGGTTTCGAAACACATGTTAGTTTTGAATGCCGTGGCCGGCCGACCCGGTTTCGAAACTGACACGTGATCCTCCGGCAAGCCCGGGCCTGCTTGATGCCCCAAGAATATCACCTGCACTCACCTGCCGAAGGCCAAGCAGGTGAGTTTCCCCAGCAGTGGAGCCATCTCTGCCACCAGCTGGCCTTGGCTCATGGTACGCTTCTCGGGGTTATGATACCCGGGCCTGTCCCCGGCTGCCAACTGTCAGCGGACCCCCCGGGCCGGCCGGTTTCGAAACTGTTTCGAAACGGGGGGTGTTTCGAAACCGGTTTCGAAACCGGTGTGAGTAATGCATTTTGCATTACTCACAGCACCCTACTTATGTGGGCCGAGCGTATGTCAACTCGGACAGGTACGGCTACCTTAGATCTAGACACTCGGCTGGTCCCGGGTGGTTGAACCCCGGGAAGTGGAGCGAGTCATCGTGATCATGATGCCAGTGGCCGGGATATGTGAGACTGTGATATCCGCCGTTCGGATTCCAGCCGCTCCCAGCACACTACACAAGACTGCCCACCCGCTACTGCGTCTGCGAAGCTTGTTCGCCCTGCACACTGACATGTAGAGCTTAGGCGTCTGGAGGGGCTAGCCAGCACCATGTAAGGGTTAGGCTGGCTAGCTTTCTCCGGAAGTCTGGCGCGGCCCATGTGCAAGCTTTTTTTTAATTGTATTTGAGCAACTTGAACACGGGACACCAAATCTGAATGAAAAGTGAGGAAATATAAAATATGCCTGCTTTTCTTGTCTTTTGCTCAACAAAATAATGAGTTGTGATCTGTGCAGATCTGCAGATGAAGTTAAGTATTGTCAGTGTACTGAAAGTAGACCCATACCCTTATCCCGTGCCATCCCTTTCAAGTTCCCAATTTTATCTTTCATTCCATATATAAGTAGTATGTCTCCTAATTAGTCAATTCAGTGCTTTTTTTCTTCCTCCCATTTGCCTGTTCCAACAGTATACAATTCATTTGTCCCATTTTGGCAGTAAATTACTATATTTTCTTTAATTTGGTACCCATACAAAGTGCCAACATTAAATTGTTCAGTGCCCCAGGTCAGCAGCATGACTGCCAGAAAATTTTGGTGCAGGGAAATATTTATACTCTCATGCCATTTGACATTTAGCACCTTGACCACTGGTCTGTGACATGGGATGCCAGTATGACATGTAACCACCAAATTGAATATGTTCCAGCAATGACTTTGTTCTTACTATACATCTTGGGCTTAGTGGACAACATTGGTAATTATGTGCTGCAGTACTAGTACCGAGCTCAACCACTGATACTGTGGCCTAGACTCTTCCTACTGTAGTAATTTCAATCAAGTATCTGGTGATGTTGGTTTTCTGTTCCTGAAAAGGCTGGAAACTATACTGTAGTATTTTACTTGATTTGAATGGCATTTTTACGTGTGACATCACATGCGAAAATTTGAATTGATATAATTGCCTAATTAGGCAACTCTTGGTGCCGGAGGCGCCTGGAAATGTCAAGGATTACCATTTTAGGAGGTGATTTTGCTCAAATTCGTGTGACATACAAAAAAAAATTCGTATAATAGCAGCAGTGTGACATTCGAAATGAGTAAAATACTATAGTAATCTGATTTTTGTACTTTCTTTTCCAAAAGGTTTTTATTTTGGCCTTGTAATGTATCACATAAGTAGATACTTAATCAAAATACTACAGTACTGAACCCTGTGGGCCTTCAGGTCCACATTTGGCTGCGTTCAGAAATTAGCGTGACCAGTGCTATACCCTATTTAGGGAATGGCATAGGTCAACCCATGGGTGCTTACCTACACCTATATCTGCACAGCCACCCTACATATACCCTTAGGAGCATTTACCTATGGGTAGCTAGTCTTACACAGGATAAAAATTTAAAAGTTTGATAGATTTTTATTATATATAGAACAGCATGTTGATCTACTACACTTAACATTACATACAATGCTCAGAAGACACTTGTATGACTGTGATATTGAAGAATTCTGGCATGTGACACTTACCTATGAGCCAGATTGCTACCCATACCCATACCTGCTTGGGTAAAGCCTATGTATGCATGCAGGTACTAGTATGGTGTCAGACTTTGGGTTGGGCCATACAAGGCTCCTCTGCAGAAATATATGCATGGAACAGAACAGACAAATTGTCAGGCCCATAAGTACGGCAAGGGTCGAGTAACTAAAAGGGCCTATTAAAGCGGTCTCTTGGTGATGTCAGTGTTGGGGTTGATCGGGTCATAATGGCCTGATGAGTCAGCAATGCCTTCTTGCACAGAGAGAAGTGGTACAAATCTCAGCGATAGAGTATAGTGTACACTATCACACCTTATATAATATATGGGGTCCCACTGAGGGGTGTGTTTCTCTCTACTAGGGTGTCTGTTCCCTGTTATCACGTGCTGCATATTGCAGGCCCCTGGTGACCTGGCACTAGCACAGTCTTATCCGTAACATATGGCTGACCTGTGTCATTGCCTAACCCTATTTGTTAACAATAAATTAATTATTGAACAAGCCTATATTTACAACAAATACACTAGGCTTCTGCTATTATGTAAAATTTCAAGTGTATGGGCAGCTCTAAATACCATAAGGATTTATCATTTTACAGACATTGCTATATACATAAGTGCAACATTTTTTATAATAGTTGACTTATGTACTTAACTCGCAGACAACACACCTTAGATCATGTTTATCCATGCCTTTCTCACCCAGATATTAAGTCATCATTATGCTTAATCAAAGTTGAAGCGGAAAAACTATGGAAAGATGATATAAGAAAAGATATAGCACTATATTCATATCAGATCATATCAAGACAATATAATCACCTACCTACTAGTAAAACAATCATCTGAATCTAAAAAGAATTGGGAGAGATATTGCTAAATCAATAGGTCTGATGCACAATTATTAGTTGGTATCTATCTACTGATGGTATTTCATTGTCAAGAATATTGATCTCACCATTCAGGTATGCTCAGTAGTACTTCATACAGCTGTGTAACCTATCTAGTTTTTTAGATATCATTTTATCAGTTGTAGATCAGCTAGTGATTAGCTAGTGCAGGCATAACAATTCAACTGGGACAATA